TGCCCTAACACAGTGTTAGAAATATATTTATTTACAATAAAATTATAACTTAATTTGATAGTGTAAAAAGAACTTGTGTCAAGTGGTTTGAAAATGCAATTTGGAGGTCATGGAGTCAATTTCATTATTCTGCAATGTTTTGAGATTAAGGTCAGATAATTTTTTTCTTTTTTTAAGATAAATCTTAAGGAATAGGCAGGAGTCAGTTAGGGAAGAAAGAAGAGGTATTATTGCAAGAGGAGTCAGCATGTTTAATGTGGTGAAGCTGTGAAGAAGTTTAGATGTTTGGAGAAATGACTGTGGCTTGTAATGGTTAAAAGAAGAAGGCAAACACGAGCTTGGGATCTATCTTCAAATGTGCATGCATCACTTATTAGATGTGTGATCCTGACCAAGTAAGTTTACTTGACCAACTCTCATTTCTAAAGCAGAGATATCCCCAGGCACATAGTAAGTTTGCAATAACAAGAAAGTATTCTTGATATTCATCATGTACACAAGAATACAAGAAGACTATACACTTGGACCGTATTAGCTTTGCTCCTTGAAGAGTTGTCTTTAATAGTTCATTAGAGAACTGAAGAGTTAAATGGTCTGATTTATGTTTTAGAAGGATAACTGATAGACTAGAGATAGGGAGCAATAGATAAGCTATTAAAAACTGAGAGGCAGTGAAGATACAGTCTAAGACATATCGGAAAGAAGATTAGATATAATTTAATGTCTGGTTAGATGTTGAGAGATACTTCCAATTTATTGCCATGTAAGATTAAGTTGTGCCATTCACTGAGGTACCAGTTACTGATGAATCATTAGGTATAGGCAGTGGAAAGATATAAAATCACTTTAGGAGGTTGCCTTTTGTATGCTTGTCTATTTTTCTAATCTTTTTAAAAAAGATATACAGAGATGTTATATTAAGATAAAAACATCTAGGGAATAGGTTGATATAAGATCCTGAAAGTTAAAAGGAAGATGTGGGTTACAGCTATAAATAATGACCCAGAACAGTAAGATAAAGCCATAGGTTGTAGATTTGGATTTGGTAACACCTCATTAGTTCATATCATATTTACTGAGCACCAAATATATGCAAGACACTGTGCAAAGGAACAGGAATACATGATTTTTTTTAAAAAGATTGCTGTTATGTTCAGTGAAGGAGTTCAGAAATTGGAAATGCAAACTATGACCAGGGCTCTAATGTAAAACAGTAGAGTACTCTACAAACTTATGATGGGGACCTAATCGTTTCTGGCGGCAGAGAGGAAAGGCTCAGAAATTTTGTGAGATATTGGTATTTGTGCTGGGGATGAATAGATAGATTGATTTGGGTTGGCAAATGGGGAGATAATGTGATCACTGCTGCAGATATTCATGCAAACATTGTGAGTAAAACCCTTAAGAGAAAACACACAGTGAATGGGGAAAACAAAAACAACATAAAAGAAAGCCGAATTGACAGTCTTTCAGGATAAACAAGAACAGATGCCAGAGAGGCTGGGTCCACTCTGAACTCTGGCAAGGAATCTCAGAGGATAGAATGAATAGTGGCAGCTGCCAGGATGTGAGAAAAGAAAGCTGATTTTCTGAGGCCAGATTTAAGGAGGAATAAGAGAGAAATTTTTGCTGAGTTGGGCCTGAAATAGGATTGTAAAGCATTACAGTAGGGAGGTTTAATGGGGATCCGTCGAGAAAAATAGGAAAATTATTATCAAATCCAAAAACATGGAGGTTTTTGGTGCCCTTCAGTAACAAGACAGTAAATGGAAAGGGAATCAGATTGTAATGGGTTGAGAATTGAATTGAAAATGATAAGATAACACTGTAAGCAACACTTTCAAAAATCTTGAATGTAGAAATCTGAGGAAAGGGAAAGCAGTGAAGTAGGATCTGGAAAGAGTTTTGTGTTTGCCTTTATGGTAAATTAAGCACCTTAAACATCTCTCTAAGCCATAAGGAAAGAGGCCATTGAAAAGAAAAAAGATGTCGCTGAAGAAATAAGATTTAAAAAAAATGACAAATGGAACAAGTTTCAGAAAGAAAGAAGAGATCAAGAGCTAGAGTAAAAGAATTTGTCCTGTGCAAAAGGTAGAACACTGGGTATCAAGGAAGTTTCCAGAAGATCCTGGTGTTGCATAAATAGATACTTTTGCAAATGTAAGGGCATACACATTTGGAGTTAGAGCAAATCGATCCAGCACTTCATTTTTAGAATGGTAAGGTTTTGTTGCACAGTTTCACAACTGAGGCTCAGATTAGTATAAAGTCCTGATCATAGAGGCAAAGTAAGCTTTGTCATCTAGTATAGGGCTCCAAAGTAGCTTGAATATAAATAAGTATATTTATTTATTTGCAAAACCTTACGTTAAATGTCATCAGAGCACAATCTGCATGGAAGTTATAGATTGTGCAGTCTGCATGCAAGCATGTTAACTATATATTTTTTCAAACATATAATATTAATATGTGTCTTTGAATATGCTCTTCGGATTGACAGATAATTTAACTGCATTTACTCATGTTTACTCTAGACCAAAGGAGAGGACTTCCATCAGTCTGGTTAGTCAGAAAAAATACAAAAACTGCCTGTGCTTAAAAACTCTGCATTTTAAGAAAATCAGTATTTTCCAATTAAAAATTAAATCTAAGGAATACTAAAGTATAAGTAGATTACACTGACATGCTACTTTTGGGCACCCTTCTTGGTTTCCTTTACATTCTAAGGACATTATTAGTTCTGAAGTACATTTATACAACATCTCTCAAAATTCATTTTAATCATGAAATTGGATAGAGTAACCATTGATACATTTACCATTGTAAGTTTTTTTTAAACCTTTCCATGAAGGCAGAGTCTTCTCATTCGTATCATATTGTCAAATTTCAGATCAGAAACTCATTTATTTTTGTATTCAACAGATTATTTCTGAAGTGCCTACTGAGAGTCAGACACTGTGCTAGGCACTCTAACTATGGAAAAGTGAATGAGAACAAGCACAATGCCTGATACATTTTTCTCTTTAACTAAATCATAAAAACTAAAACAGCATAAACAATGTTGATTGTTTTCCTGAAAAAAAGGTGGGAACATCAGTGACTTCAATATAGATTTCTCCTGGCTATGTGTGATTTGACATAGGGGTAGACTAAACTCTAGCATTTGTCAGCAATAGGTGATTGTTTTTAGAATGTATTATCAAGAACTTGTATTTTTGCATTCATAGCAATTTCTATTTCCCAAGTTCAGAATTGACAAGGCATATCATTTGATACGCCAAATGATAATATGCCAACTAGATTTGTACTCTCTAATATTAAAAATAACACATCTACAAATTTCTATATGGGAATTCATACCACAAAACCTTTATTTTTTTGACATATTTACAAAGAACTAACATTTTATCTTCCAAAAACATTAGTATGAAAATGCATGGGTAACCAATGTAGCTTTAAAGAAAACGTAATTGCATGAATACAATGGAAAAGCAGTATTCTATACAGACAATGATCAACATTGAAAAATAATCAAGGCCAGGCTCGGAGGCTCAACCCATAATACCAGCACTTTGGGAGGCAGAGACGATTGAATTGCCTGAGCCCACAGGTTTGAGACCAGCCTGGGTAACTTGGTGAGGCCTCATCTCTACAATAAATAAAAAATTAGCTGGGCGTGGTAGCGCGTGCCCTTAGTTCCAGCTACTTGGAAGGCTGAGGCCGAGTGAGACTCCTGGGCATCGGAGTGAGACTCTAACTCAATAAATATAAATAAATAAACAAAATGCTGAAACAGTCCAGAAGATAAGCATAGAAAATTGATCAGATTCCTTCTAATATTTATCTATCTATTGGCCTTGTTAGTATGAAAAACACAATTTATAAAATGAAATAAACCTGTAATTTTCTTAAAACTTCTATGGCTTAAAAATTTTTTAAAAAGAGAAAGACTTTTAAACTCTAACATTCACTGCCTTTATGTTTAAACTACAATATGGCCAATAGAAATGAAAATATATATATATAATTAATGACTGAAAGATAAATCAAATCGGAAAGTATGTTATTCTCAGTTTAATAGAAAAAGAATTCTGGTGGGTATAACATTAAAAGAAATCCTCTAAATACAACTTTTCACTGTTGTTAAGAATATTTTAAATATCATTGTGCTATATCCAAAGCCTCCTCTTAAGGCAAATAAATAATAATTTATAGAATATGAAAGGAAACAGCTGTTATATCAATGCACAAAATTCCCGCTAGCTTCAGCATTCAAAACCTAAAAATGAACTCCAATAACCTTAAAAGAAGTTAATCTTAAAAAACAAATAACTTGTCCCTTTTAGACTGTATTAGCAATTCAAAATTCCTAGGCATTCTAGCACCAACATATTTATTCCACACAAAATGGAAGACATAAAAATGCTACCTGGTGTTTTAAAATCAAGAAACAGAGATGGGGATAGGTGAAGAGTGTTCAACCCATTGATAGAGCCTGGAATTCTAAAGCAGGTAAGTCAATTTCCACTTTCTTTCTCCAATCTCTTTATTATAAAGCAGTGTGGTATTTAAAAGCATAACCTTAACAGCCAGAAGGACAGATCTGGGTTCAAGTATACTTATGAACCAGTTGTTTGAGCTTGAGCAAGTAAATGATTTTACTAAGTTCTGGCGTCTTTGTCAGAAAAAAAAGAGAGAATTTAGGAAACTCTAGCTATAAGGATGCCATAAAGACAATATGAGAGAGCAAATGTAAAAACCTTAGCACAGTGCCTGGCACACAGAGCTCAACAGATGCCAGGGAGTGGTTTTGATGGAAGTATTTCTACTACAAGCACTCCTAAAGGATTTCAGGCAAGAACCCTTTAAAAGAAATTGATATGATTCTAATTCATATATGTACATGCATGTTCTTAATGGCAATTTTTAGACATATCTGTTACAGGCTGAATTTATAAGGGGATTTTCTTAGTGATGTTAAGAAGGAAACTCTCACTCACCTTGTCATTTACTACACTCTTCCCATCCCAAGCCCATCCTCTTTTGGTGAAGTAATTAACAGTTGCAAATTCAATTAGAGCAGAGAACACAAATGCATAACAAACAGCAATAAACCAGTCCATGGCAGTTGCATATGCCACTTTGGGGAGAGAATTCCGAGCACTGATGCTTAGAGTTGTCATTGTTAGAACAGTTGTCACTCCTGCAAAAGAAAAGACATGAACCAAAACATCCATAGGTATTAGCAGAACAGCACAGAAAGCAGGGTTTTTCCCTCCACCACTCCCAAAACTTTTGCCATTTTTATTCACTAAAAATTAAAAAAAATACTGGATGACAGTGTAAAGTTAATTATCTTAAATGGCTATTATATTTCTTGAAGTAATGACTCTGAAAATGCTTTCAGTTTTCATTTATGTCCTGTATGAATCACTTTTCTTTTCAAGTACTATTGAGGTTAAAAAAGACTAGGGATGCTGAAGTAGAATTACTTATGAGAACCAAGCACTTTAAATTGACTCACTGCCAATTAACATTATTTTTTTAAAGATTCTGTAAAAGCCTTATGTTAATTTGTTTGTCATTTATTTGACTCATGCTAAGCAATGGACCAATCACCCACACCAGTGAGCACAATGGAACTATGATTAAGAAATTCTTTATTCGAGTCTGGTTACGTAAGCATGAAATTAATACTGGATTGCCAAGCATGGCGAGGACATAATTTCTTTCATAATATAGCTTAGAATCTATAGAATATAAGTCAAGCCACTAAATACAAAACATAATATAAATCATAATTTCTTAAAAAATAATAACTTTGTAGGTTTAATAATAAACAAGTTTCTTTTTATGGATAGCTTTTTGCCAGTAGTTAGGGAAGTCAAAATAATTAAGATAAAAAAGAAGGCAACAATTAAGGAGGCAAGTTGCACCATCAGTCCTTAAAATGGTTATAATCACCTGTTTTATCAGAGATCCAACAGCTATATGAACAGGAAATACATTAAATTCAAAGAAAAAATGAAAATGTTAAATAAGTGCTCATTCGTATTTTGAAATTTTTTTGCATTTTTTTTTACTTTCTTTAAGATAAAGCAGTTTTTTCTCCTTTAGAATAGAGCTAGGAATTCAAATAGCAATAATTCTATTTAATCATGACTGACTGCATCTAGAAATATGATGGTAGTAGTGGAAATAAAAGGTTAAAAGTAAATTAAGTTCACCTGCTGCTGAGCTATTATGAAAAAACACAGAAATAACTGTGCTTACATGCCTTAAACTAGAGAAGTTTTAGACTAAGATGGTTTCTTTCTGAGATTTTTGTACAAAAGAATAAAAATTCAAAGTAGATATACATATGCATATATATGTATGTGTATTATATATATGATATACACATAATACAGAAAATAAAAATATCAAATCAATGTATGAAAATATATTGATCCTCACCAGCATCAAGGAAAGACAAACAAAGAAATACTGAGATACTTGTTTAAAACAGTGTTATCACCTAAATGTTAGCAAAACTTTAGAAGATGAATACTCTAATTTTGATAAGGATGTGGGACAATGAATATTCTCTTTGATAGTGATTGCAAATCAGTGTTGTAGCTAACCCAAAGTCATGAAGATTTTGAGTTATGTTGTCCTCTGAGTTTTAGAATTTCAGTTTTTGCACCTGGGTCTTTACTTCATTTCAAGTTCATTTTTGTGTATAGTGTTAGGTAAATATCCAAATTCATTCTTTTGCACATAGATACCCAGTTGTTTCAGCATCATCTGTTGAAAAGACTTTTGGTTCCTCATTAAATAATCTTGGAAACTTTGTTCAGAATAAATTGACCATAGTTATGTGGATTTGTTTCTGGACTTTCATACCCTTGATCTATATATCTATTCTTATGCAAATTTCACATCATTTTGATGACCATAGCTTTAGAGTAAGCTCTTATATCAAGAAGCTTGAGTCCTTTCTTATTTGTATTCAACTTTCTTATTCTTCTTCAGGACTGATTGGTTGATTCAGGGTCCCCTACATTTCCATTTGATGTTACAATCAGTTTGCTCTTTTTGGAAATAGGGTCACTGGAATTTTGATAGGTATTGCATTAAATTTGAAGATTGTGTTGGATAGGAATGCTATAACCATATTGTCTTTCCATCTTGAACAAAAAATATCTTTCCACTAGGTAGATAGATATGTGAATAGAAAGATAGATACATCTATATAATAAATGTTTTCATTTATTTAGAGTTTCTTTCATTTCATTCAGCAACATTCTGTAGTTATCCATGGAAAAGGCTTTCATTCCCTTGGTTAAATTTATTTACAGATACTTTATTTGTTTCAATGCTAATGTAAATGAAATTGTTTTCTTCACTTCCTGTTTTGATTGTTCATTGATGGCATACAGAAACACAACTGCTTTTTACATGTTAATTTTGTGCCCTGCAGTTTTTTGTTGAATTTAATAGCTCTAATTTTTTTTTTTTGCATTTTTCTTTTGTAGATATGGGGGTCTCATTACGTTGACCATGCTGGTCTCAAACTCCTTTCAAGCAATTCTCCTCAATCTCCCAAAGCACTAGAATTTCAGGGATAATCCACTGTGCTCAACTTCAGCTCTAATAATCTTTATGTGGTTTCCTGAGGGTCTTCTATAAATAAGATCATGTCATCTGCAAACACAGATCATTTTACTTCTTCCTCTCCAGTTTTCATACCTATTATTTATCTTTCTTGTCTTGTTACCTTGGGAAGAACTTGCAATATAATGCTGAATAAAATTGTTGAGAGCATCTGTATCTTGTTACTAATAATAGGGAAAAATCACCTATAAGTATAATTAATGTTAGTTGTGGGCTTTTCTTACATGCCCTTTATCAGGTAGGAGAAATTCTCTTCTATTGTTGAATTTTTATCACAAAAGAGTATTGGATTTTGTCAAATGTTTTTGTTTCTATTTTTTTTTTTTTTTTTTTTTG